GCTAAGATCTGTCCCTCCAGGATATGTTCCTGATGAGTAAGGTTTGCTTGGTATTGCTTGAGGAGGTTGGATACCTGGAGAACTAACCATAGAGAATTAAGGCTCAGCCTCTCTTCTCCAGTACAATTGCTGCCACTGGATGCCCAGGGCACTAAAACACAGACTCAATCAATCTTGACAACAGGTGAGTGTTGACAAAAATCTTTTATGAATTTGAACAATAATGGAGGAAGAAATGTCGCAAATTTACTCAAAATTTATGGGTTTAGAAGTTATTCAATTGTATCTTTGCAATTGCAATTCTGTTGTAATTTTTATTAGTAATCATGCAGATGTTTCTGAATAAAAAATTCCACAGCTTTATTTTTGTTGAGATTTATACACAAATTAAAAGTAATTTCAGGGGTAGTAATATAGCCCAGTGGCAAAGGGGAGACAGGTGGGGATACAAGTCAACGGCAGAGGACTTGGTCGGCATGTACGAGCCCCTGGGGATGGGGATGGGCTCTGAGGTTCCACCTCAGTTGAGGAACTAGTGGCAATTAATGGCTGCTGCAATGGGAGAGTCAGTTTTCTTCATGGATGTGGCTCCCGTGAGGCCACCTACCAGCAGATGGCCCTATACCCATGCACATGCAGGCAGCATTAAGTGGTCTAAAAATTAAAAGCAGAGCACGTGAAGTTCAGAGGAAAGGGGGGATGGTGGGAGGAAAATGGGGATAGATTTGATCAAAATGCATTATATACATGAGTATGAAATTCTCAAACAGTAAGAAAGTAAAATAAAAATTTTTAAAGTAATGACAAGGTAAGAAATAATATAATGGAATAAATATAGTATTGGTAATCTATAGTAGTCACCTCTCCCCTAGACGCTGATTCATAGGAGGAATTGCCATTAGCAATTTCTTCTGCTTAATTCCTCTTTAGCTCCTCCCACTCTGTCTACACCGCCAGACTTCCTAATTTTATTTAGGAGCTCTGACATTTGCCTTCATTTTCAAGGCAACCGCCCACGAAATATTTGTAAATTTTTGTATGGTGTCATCGAGAGTAAATTTTATTTTAGCCAAAGAACAGTTTGGGAGGATGGAGAAGAAACAAATGTGTAATCGAGCAGAAATGAACGCTGTGCTAGGAACTCGACCCAGCTCTAGCGCACCTTGCTGCCGACCCTTTGCTTCAAGGCCTAGTCTGAGGCTGCTAGATGGTGACGGGCACCCCAGAAAGGTTCTTCTGACTGCTGCCATCGAGTGAGATCTCCTGCCCCATCATTACGAAAGGCCTCAAGTGCCCACAGACAATTAAAAACAGGTTACACAGAGTTAGACATGTAGGAAGCAAGTGGTGTTTCTGAGGACTTCAATCTTGGACTGTGGCTGGAAGAATAACCCGGGCCTGAATCCTGCTTGTGCAGCCTGATGCCAGGAAAATATTATCTTTCCTTCTTGGCCACTCTGCTCTTTTTTCTCACATCTTCTTTTTCCCTCTCAGTATCTCCACTTTCCTAAGTGTTATAAACTCAAAGTACATTTTGCTGTCCCTGTTTTACTTATTTTAGAGGGACAATTATGATTCCTGGCATTTAATCAGATCTATCAAAACAAAACTAAATGGGACCTCTTTTCCTCTTGGGTTATATATTTATTATGTATTAGAAACTTCAAGTTATTATCAAATTATTCTAGGTTGTAATTAGGTCCCTCCATGAAATTATGAAGCAGAACAAAAATACTCCACTGTGAATAAGCTCCATTCCATGCCCATCTCTAGTGGGCAGATGAACAGAATATATCCATTAATTGCTTGGCTTATTCTCAAAGTATTTAGCCTAAAAGGAATCAAATCCAGGCTGATCTGTAGTTGTTACAAGTTGTGCTCATAACCCTCATTGCCCCCCTCCAGTTCCCTATGTCAACACTTACATTGCATCCGTTGTATAATAAGGGTCACTGATAACCCTAGGCAAAGGATGACCAGAGTCATCGCAGCAGGGCACCACCATGGGGAGGAGAGAAAATGCAAACCTGCAGGGAAGGAGAATCCGAAAAATTGGAAAAGCCAAAGGCAGGTCATCAAGCCGAGCTCAGGGCTCTGGATCCTGCCTGAGCTCTGTGCTGTGCACCCCTCAGCCCCCTCCCCAACCCCACTGGCTCTGCATGTGTGCAGACAGACAATGGATGGTTATAAAACTGAAGTAAGTTACTCATGGACTCACATGGGAAAAAAAAAATAACAGCTGGGATTCAGTAAGGTATCAGACACTTACTGAACGTTTACTTCCTCTATTCTATGCACAATGCCCTTTAAGAAACTCTCAATGCAGCCTAACTTCATCTATGGTGCAGAAAGTCTGATGTTTACATACACATGTACACAAGTATTCATAAGTAACATTATGCAAACAACTGTCAGATGTCAAATAAAATATTTTAATCAGTCACCTGAGATTTTCTCAAGAAATTCTATGCCTGATCTCACACCATTCAATTTTTATTATACTAAAATTACTTCTTGTAACTGGAGTTGTTAACCAAAGGAAACTAGGAATGAGACCTTGATATGCACTTGGCTTATAATAATAGCCTGACTTGCACTTATGTTGCATTTATGTTAATTGTGGTAACCCCAGTACTGTAAATAGAAAAATAAAGCCTAGCACTCAGAGTATAGCAGGGGGTCATTGGATGTTTCCTCTATGAAGTATAGAGTTAGCTGAAAACTTTTACTCCAGTTGGGATTGAAATAATTATGGTGGTGATACGAAGTAAACTCAGGCATCTAGGCCTATTATTCCCAGATAAGAAGTCGCCTTGTTTATGAAAACAAGTTATGCAGCTCTGACATGAGAATGTACAGTTATATGGCCACATATTAAATAACCACAAGCATTACAGACTCAAGAGGAAAATATTACACACAATGTATTTAGTTTCTTCCTCTTGTAAGATAAACAGAACACTGACATTATTCTCCTCCTCTCCATGTAAAGAAGAAACTGAAAGCTTCAGTCACTAGCTTGAGAGAACACATCTAATAAACTTAAAAAGGTAGGTCTTTGGGTTTTATTTTGTTCATGCTTAAAACGATGCTCATTTTTAGTCCACACTGCCTTGGAACTCACTAAGTAGCTCAGGATGGTCTCAGACAGATGAGCCCTCTTGCCTCAGGCTCCCTAGTGCTGGGATATCAGGCATGCAGTACCACATCTGGTTCCAAGCACAGGCCTCTATTCCAATACTGATAAGCCACAATGCTTAGAGTATTACATTACTAAGCTTTCAGTGTGAATGTGGTAAGGGTTCAAGTTAATCAGCTGCTGGATATATTCACAGAGTTCTCATGTGTTAATAATCTGTTAGACTCTACAGATAATTTTTTTGAAGATAGAAATTGTGACAGCTCGTTCTCTGACTAAATGATTTCTGTCTCTGCACTTGTGGTGAGCTGGCAGACAACAGAAAAGCTAATATCTTTTACTGATGGTGACCTAATCCTGGCACCTGGCATCATGTATCTGTGTGTAATAACACATTTCTCTTTACACTCCAATATTCATTCCACATTTTATGCCCACAACTCGAATAAAATACCAATCCCATGAACCACCCATGTGAAAAGAACACACGTGTTCCTATTGTCTACGATATACCTTCATCCCATCTCGGTGGTAAGAATTCTCGGTGGTCTAGTTCTCACCTGACTTATGGCATTTAGTCAGAAAGCAACCTTTAGTCAATCAATAAAGGAACAAACAAGCAAAATATTTTTTTCACTGAATTCTGTGCCTAATTTATACAGTTCGCAGTAGGTCACTAATTTAATCAGGAATTTTAAAAATGAATCATATTTATGTCAGAAGTCAGGCAAACATTATCACACAAACAATGAATGAATGGTTGAACAAATTAATGGTTGGCATTAGTTCCTGAATCTACTATTAAACACCAGGACGTCTTCACATCAAGCTAGATCAGCTGCTGCTGGGTCTACTACTAAACACCAACATTGTTTTCAGTCTGTGCTAGTTCAGTCACTCAGATATTAAATCACACCATACTCACCCTTATTCTATCTATGGAAAGATTCCAGTCTTGTTTACAGACACAGTCTGTCTCTCTTCCTCTTCTTAAGGTTTTATTTGCCCCTCCCCCAACAGGGCTTCTCTGTGTAGCCCTGGCTGTTCTGGAACTCGATCTGTAGACTAGGCGGGCCTGCTCCTGCCCCTCAAGTGCTGGGATTAAGGTGTGCACCACCACCACCCAGTCCCTTTTCTCTTAATTTTATAAAATAATAGGCATTTTATCTGTAGTTGTCTACAGAATTGAGATTATCAATTAAACCTAAGTGGTTCACAGTTTACTATATTGGCCAATCATAAACTATAATTTTTCAAAGCAATGATAGACAACAAAAGCTAATGTATGCTCATCCATACTGAACACACTGAATTTGCTTTAGATAACTCATAAAGCACTTCATAGTTTTGCAGTAGTACTTCAACAACACATATAAAAAATAATCACTGTGTGCTCTGAATGAATGTATTTCCTGCAGTTTTTTATGAAATAGATTCTGTATATGTGGGAATCTGTGGTATGATTTTGGCACTACTGTATATGATTCCATGAAACTAAGTGACTTCATTAATCCTTCTGATTCTGGGTTAGCTCTCTGTAGAAGGCAGATACTATCAGCACCATTCTTGAAAAGTATAAAGATTCAGAGAAGTCACTGATTTAAAGAGACAGCATGGAGAACAGCTTACAGTAAAGATGTAGTACAGGTAAGTTATTATCTTGAATCCTACCTGCTTTTCTTCCAAATAAGTGGTATTAGTCTCTTATATTTCCTGATATTTGAAGGTTTTTAATTTCTAAAGTCATTCTCCAGTACATTTAATTTACATTTCTAAACTAAGCTTGACATTCTGTCTTTGTAAGCATCCACCCATCCCTGGTACCTTTAGCCTTCTTGTGATATGACTTCTCATCAGGCTGCTCGTTCACAGGAGTCATCTTGCCATTAAAAGTCATTTCCAAACTCATGCCAGGAATGAGAAACTGAAGCAGTCAAGGAACTCAACCAACTGCCAGTGGTTGAGCTTCTGGTGCAGTTTAAATAGCTACTCTTATCTAGCAGAGGATGACTCAACCATCGCAGGAGGAAGGGGGAGACTTTGCTTCATATTGGAAAGTTGGCTAACACAAATTCTTAGGTTGTGTCTGTTGTGGGTGGGGAGAATGGTAATTCCAGCCCTGTATTATGACCTTTCACTAAGAAAAAAGGCAGCAGGGAAAAATGCACCGTCCGTGACAATCATAGGAAAGACGCCGCCGACTTATCAGATAAGGGCTTGAAACTCGAAGGAAGCGCATACCTCAAGCTAGGTTTGTAGAAAGGAATGTCACTTCATTGTCCACATTTATTTGTTTGATGATTCACTGAAGCTTATTTTCACTATATGGCATCTTTTTTGTAAGTAGTATATTTTACTTTTCTTTGCTTTAATTGGCAATTAAAAATGTAACATAAATCATGTAAGATTCCCATTTCAGCCATGGTACCCTGGGTACAGGACTCAATGGGGGCATTCTTGCATACAATGACTTTAAACATCATGAGCCTACTGGAACTAAATAGAGTAAGTTTTTGGATCTTGCCCTGGGTCTGCCATCTTGGCATGGCAGACTTATATCAAATCTATCACTTATATCAAATCTATATCAAATCTGTGATTTGAGGATAATGTATATTTGATAATGTTTCTTTAGCCAGGTATAGTGGCATAAGTCTTTAATTCCAGCACTTAGAGTCAGGGGTACAGAGCCCGGTGGGTTTCCATGAATTCAGGGCCAGCCTGGTCTATAATACTGAGTCCATGCCAGCAAGGGTAGCATAGTGAGCCCTGTCTCAATATTTTTTTAAAAAAATGATAAAATTTCAATAGGAACTTAAGTGATATTGTGAAAATGACAAGCTTTGTGATTGGGGCATAAAACTCAGAACTAATAGTTAAAACTACTATTAATTGCTATACCCAGGATAGTTAAGTTGACCAGAAAAGAATATGTTTTAGTTTGACCAATGTTTCCTGGGCTTTTTATACCTATACCTATCCATAGATAGAATCGTCACCTAGTTTTCCATCATGAAAAGACACATATCTTTGAAATTACTTCTATTTTTTAACCTGTGTGTATGTATGTGTGTGTGTTTGCTTGTATGCGTGCACAACACAGGTACATATGGAGGTCAGAGGACAAGCCAGGTGTTGATGGGCTCTGGTCTCCCACTGTTTAAGTAAAGCTCTCTTTGTTGATGCATGCTCTAGGCTAGCTGATCTGCAAGATTCCAGGATCCTCTCATATCTCTGCCCTCCATCTCACAGTAAGAGTACTGAGATTACAGACAGGTGTGTCTGTAATGGGCTTTTGATGAGTTCTGGGGATCCTAACTCAGGTCCAGCCCTTGCAGGTGCTTCTGTAAAAGGGACCCCTTATCTACTGAACGTGGTTTATGGAGTTTGTGTGTACGCTGAATTTTGTTTTAAACCACTTAGAGAAAAGGTGGAGTGGGGAAAGGGATGGGTAAAAGAATGGGTAAGATATCTAGGAAGTTACATAGGAAAACCCAGCAACACTAACAGTGTGTATAGGACTTCACATCCTTCCTCCATGCTAAGCTTTGTGTTTTCCATCTTCCTACTAGGATATTCAGCACAAGCTGAGAACAGCTTATCTGCCATTTAAAGTTTTCGTTTTCACACAGTTCGCAAAACAGCCCACAGAGCCAACACAAACTTATCAAAAGATTGCATTTTAAAAACAACAACAATGTCCCCCTAACCTACTCCTGACCCCTATTTCCTAGCTAGGGGGTGGATGACAGGAATCAAATACATTCCTCAATTTCCAAAGTTGCCTTTTCACTTTCACTTTCACTAAGATTCAGTAGAATCTCAGGAAATTTCTTATGATGATGAATTAATAAACACTGAAATGGCAGTACAATGAGAAGGACACTTTATTATTCTCACAGTGACTCAATTATCTCAGACACCATTAATATAAAAAAATATAAACTATATAATGGCTGCTACTTTAACTACTTTAGATGTACTGCTTAATGTGGTGTTAAGTACATTCACATTGTCATAACAGCTTTCACCACAATCCACCTGCACAGTATTTCCATCTTTTCTACCTGAAAACATTTTCACAGTTCCTGTGATGGTTCATTCTATTTCCTGCCTTGTCCAGACCACTTGGTACCTCGGCAAAATGTTTGAGGATGGAGATTATATTGTACACCTATTTCCTCTGAACTAAAACATTTCTTTGTGGATGAGGGAAGGATGGGATGATTCTTTGGTCTGTTCTTGTTTCCCTATCTGTGGTGAACAGATTTTGTTCATGTCTTGCCATGAGAAGTCACACAACAGATAAATAAATCAGTAGAGATGGCCTATTTATATATTGAGTGAGCTTCATTCAAATCCGGAAAGCCGAAAGAACAGAAGCAACCATCCTCCTCCACATAAGGAGGCATTTTTTAGCAGATGGCCTTTGGGCTTCATTTTTAGCACCTGTTCCCTCTGGTCTTCATACCAGCCTTTGGACTGGAATTAGACCCTCCCTTGACTCTTCCAGATCCTCAGTCTGCTGGGTAGCACTGCAGATTTAGACTAGGCAGCTCCTATAATCACACGATACAATCTCATCTAAGAAATCTCTGTCTTTGTATCTACACTCTACACATTCTATCAGTTCGGCTTCTTTGAGAAACTTCTGTCCTTATATCTACACAGTCCATCAAGTCTGCTTCTCTAAACACTCTATTAACCACTTCCTGTTCCTCCTTGAAGTCAGTCCTGTATTTTCTGTCCCTTGAAGTTTGATACTTTGTGTCAGATTTCTAATTCCTTAACAAAATATCTAAAGTAATCAATACACAAGCAAGAAAGGTGTATGTTGGCCCAAGGTTTCAGAGATTTGATCAATCAAGGGTCAATTATCGCCACTGGTTTTGGACCTGTGGAGAGACAGAAGAACATCAGCATGAAAAGATGCTCAACTCATGGGTGTAGGGAAGGAGGAATCTCATTCAAGGACTTGTTTCTAAAACCTCTCGTTGCTCCTGCAATCTCCTAGCAGTGGGCACAGGCTGGCAACCAGCCCTTCAACACTTGAGCCTTTGGTGGACATTCAGTCTCAACTACCTCATGTTAGTAGAAGAATCCACCAGTTTTCTGTCTATGTTTGACTTAGTTTATTGAGAATTGTGTCTTCAAGGTTCATCCATATTACAGCACAGCTTAGAATTCCCTTTATGTAGAATACTTTATTTTATTTATCTTTTTATCTGTTGATGTGAGTTTATCTTGTTCCCCCCCCCCCTACACACATACCCTCTCTTTTGCTCTTGATACAGGTTCTCACTGTGTAGTCCTGGCTTTAAACTTACTAGGTAGAACAGGCTGGGTTCAAACTCACAGAGATCCGCTTGTCTTTGCTTCCCAAATTAAAGGTGACACCACACCACCACACTGGGCCTTTTCTCTTGTTCTTAAACATTCATAGAGAAAAGTTTCCAAGAAACTGTAAAGACTTGAAGGAATACAGGATGTCCCATGACCCCTGCCGCCTGCTGTCATGCATTCTTTGTGAGCATGTGTTCTCAGAGCTATAACTTAAAATGTAACAAAGGTCAAAGAATGCAGGTGACCATACACAGGGAATTGCGTCAGGCACATGAGGAGTGTGCTGAAGCCTCTCTTCTCCTGTGTCTGTCTCTGTGCTCATCGTTAAAATTTAAAGAACCATTCCTTAGTTGCCTATAGTTCTTTGTCTATGAAGGTGGTCCTGTGAGCCTTCCCACTTCCACATTAGCATGTCTATTGGTGTTCAGGTCTAGTTTAGACACTGTATTTTTAAAGTACTCTAAGTGATGCCAATGCTGAGAGAGGATGAGCCCCCTCATTGATTATCCAACACCAAGTGCTCAGTCCTGAAATCAATCAGTCATGCACATGCAAGTAATACTAGATGGAGTGATCAGGAAACAATGTAATTATATTTCTATTAAAGACTTTCAAGAACCCTGATTATACTAATCCTATAGCCACTAAGAAATACATTCTGCCAAAAAGAGCTTGCAAGTGGATCCTCTGTCATGACAGACTTCAGACCAAAAAAAAAAAAAAAAAGCTACTAATCAGACACTTTGATCTCAGCCTTGTAAAATTCCAAGCAATGGACCCAGTTAAGCTTTATACACATTTCTGGCCCTACTGTGAATGCTATTGATAGTGTGTGTGTGTGTGTATTGCCTTATTTTGTTGCTCACACAATTTGTAGTAATGAGCTAGATGGCATGTAAACCATACATCCTTTGATAAACTGAATCCTTCTGGCTTGTTTAACTTCCCAAGTTGAGCGCAAAGCTCTGAGTTTGATCAGCAACACTGCCCAAAGGGGGAGTGGTGTCACATGCTTGTAATCCCAGCACAAAGGCAACAGCAAGATCAGAAGTCAAGGTCACCCTGAGCTACATAAAAAGTTTGAGGTCAGACATGAAGCTAACTCAAGGGTGGAACAACCTCCTGTTGAATCCTGTTACTAATTTTCAATGCCTCTGAGGTTGAAATTCAATACCTATGCTGTGATCTTGGCTCCTAAAACAGAGACAACTTCCTAGTGAAACACCCAGGCATTTCAGAATGAATCTGACTTCTGCCACCTTCTCTGCTCTTGAAATCATGGTCATGGCCCAATCCCCTGCTCAGCCATGTGCAGCTTGATGTTGTTGGCTCAGAGTACCAGTAGTCCTGAACACTATTTTATTGAGGGGTAGAAATGTAGGAGAGCATGGAGGGGGTGCACCAGACAGCCAAGGCCAAAGGAGAGTAATCACAGGAACCACAAGTTAGCAATTCTTTGGCTACACTTGTTAGAGTGATTGTATAACAATTCCCTGAAGCACAGGTGAAGAGGTCTGTGTACATGTACCTCCTACTGGCCCAGGTCCCAGTCCTTCACAACAGGAGTATAAGCTAATGATTCACAAACTTAATGGAATGAGGTTATGTAGGTTGGTAATGAGAATATTCCCATCTTCCCTAACTCCATGCTTGCTCCCCATCCTTATGCCATGCAGACCTTCAGTTTTCTTCTCTGACTAATCTTTCCTTTACCATCATTTCCTACTTAAAGGCAGTGATTCTAATGTGTTACAGGTCATTGACACATTGGAATAAATAAAGTTCTATCTCCTTGGAGGATAAGAAAGAAATTATACCAGTAATTCTGAAAAAGAAAAAAAAAATTACAAAAACAACAAGGCAGCCATTCACAGAAGCCTGTTTTGTTCAGGCCTGTTAAGAAGCTTGGGGGCAAGAAAGATGATTGCAATCATGTGGCCAGAAATTGCCATGGGGAGAAAGCCAAAGTAATTGGAAAACCTGTTCATGCAGGTGAAGGCTGGTACGGGGAGAAGTAATGGTGGGGCTAGTCATGTGAACTGTTCAAGAAAAAAGAACACTAGAAAGGTATAGCACAATCTAGAGAGGGCTGGTAGAAAGATGGGACAGGCATAGTGGACAGTAATGATCCGCCATCTAAGATCATATAGTGATCACATATAAGATAGGGCTGAATTAAAAGCATCTTAACTAACATCAAATGCTTGCTAACAGAACTGTAATATGCATCATAAAGATTCAGTTTTCAGTTTATCTGTATGAGTATTTTGCCTTTGTGTAACTCACTACACATCTGCCTGCTTCCCAAAGAGGACAGAGGGTGTCAGATCCCCCTGGAACTGGAGTTGCAGGCCATGAGCCACTATGTGGGTGCTAAGAACAAAACTGCTTTTTGTATCAAACCAAACTCAGTTGACAGAGAGATGGAAGGCCCTGTCCACAGCTAACAGTGGTTAAACAAGGAAATGCCCCAACCCCCTGAACTACGCTTTTAGCCGTGGTTGTTTATGCTTTTTCCCACAAGAAGAGGAAAAGGGAGGAGTTCATGGGGTTTTCCACTATGTGGTGTTTAAACAGAAATACTCTATGCAAGATGCTTCCTTGACCCTGATTTTCCCTTTTCTAGGAAGCAAAAGCTAGTGTAAGTCTAGTGGGCATCCATCCATTATGCTCCTACTCTGTGAGTGGGAGCAGTAGGACCTAGACTGTGACTAACGTCCCTCTCCAGTCCTACAAAATACCTGGGTCTTAATGAATTTTCAATTGATATCTGGAAAACACTTTTCACTCAAGAGCCTGTGTCCTAAAAATAAGTGGATAGACTTGGAAAGACTAAGATTGTACCAGTGAATTCTCTCACTGTTTGCTTCCTTTGGCTGAGAAAAGGAAATTGTTTATATTCTACATTCCCACATCATATTGTCACAGTGTGATCATATGGTTTGTGAGCCTTTGATATGATGGAGCCCACCCTGCAGTCTCCTCTCATTAATTAGAAAACATCTGAAATGTGATTTTGTTCAATCTTGTGAAATGGACATGTCACTGTAAATTAACACTGAATATTCTTACTCAGTATTTTGCACTGGGTAAAGGATTCCTGCTTAAATGTCAGGCATTGGTCTGACTGTTTCCATACAATATTTTTCTTTATAATCATTTTACATCCTTCCATTGTGGTGTGCTTATTTTTAAATGTGACTTTAAGTTTTATTATATTGCGGATAATATGTTTTTTGAGATAGAGGCCTTGCTGTTTCCTAGGGTAGCCTCACGCTCCTGAACTAGACTCAAATGATCCCCTTACCTCAGCCTCCTGAGTAGATAGAAACACAATTTTACACACTGTGCCTGATTCTCACACAGCAACATCACAATCGTGCTTTGAGAGGGGCAGGTACCAAGAGAGACAGAGAAACAGTGGAGTTGTCTTGGAAACCAGTTTTTTAAACCATGCCTGTGTGTCTAACTTGTTTTAATGGGATTGAAACTGAAGTAGAGTGGAGGCTGAGAAGATTGATAGCACCCAGAGAGTTTAGTTTTCAAACCCATTTGCTACTCTAAAGATGGGACCGGTTTTCTGGCTCATTTGGAATCCTTCAATCCTGCTGAGTGGTTGCAATAAATGACCCAGAACTAGCAGGGTTGATTATCAACATGGGGTGGGGGGAGCTCAAGGAACAAGAAGGGGGATGCCAATCACATGGAGAGAGGGTGGAGGGAGATTGGCAGAGTGACTTTCCGACTCCAGCAGTCATCCACGAGCCAAGACTGTAACCAGTTTCCTGATGAACACAAGAACACTTCTGGTCATTCGCAATCTGCCTTTGAACTATTTCAAATCCAAGTCTCTTGTTATAGACTGGAAAAAAATCTAATTCAGAGGACAAGTGTGTCCTTGAATGCTTTTCCACTGGGGGCAGAAGGAGAAACATTAAATACACAGGAAGGTTTGATAACCAAAAGGGAGGGGGAAAGGAACAAATGTGGAGACCATGGGAAGAGAAATAGAGAAAGTGAAGGAAACTAAGAGGAAAGAGGAGAGAGAAATCCTGAAACTTGAAGGCGAGGGGTGTAAAGGGAGAGGGATATTGATTTATTGCTGAGAAAAATTTTCTCTTTAGGAATTCTGGACCAGGAAGTTCCACGTGGCACTGAGCATGGATAAGATACAGCAGATGCACCCGGCGTGACCCTTCTGGACCAGGTATTCGGCCTAATGGCAGCCCGGGCCCAAGTGGTGATGGCTTCTGTCCTGGTTTATTTGATCCCGGTGAGTTCAGTTGTGAAAAGGTGGGAAGAACCTTTCCTTGGCTCATTTCTTTGGCTATACTGACTCTGGGGGGAGATGGGTGGGATAAAAACAGATTTAGTGCGGAGGAGACTCACAGGTGTGCGTGTGTGTGCATGTGCGTGCGCGTGCGCGTGCGTGTGTGTGTGCGTGTGTGTTTGTGTGTGTGAGAACGATGTCCACGGAAAGAGGGACAGACAGTAGGACCATCAGCGATGGCACATGCTGCTGTATACCCGGCTTTAGCAAGGTGCTGAGATCCTAACTCAAGCTCTTTACCCACTGAGCCGTGTCCCACCAGCTCCAGAAGACTCTTTAATGCTATTTTAATATTCTAAACACTTTATTTTACTCCATGGTGAAAGAAAAGCCTCTGAGTTATCCATTAGCTGAGAAAAGGATGGATAGACTGAGAGATTCTGGCCAAATCCCAGGTCCACACAGCTAGGACGTCTAGCAGAGAAAGAAACGGCGCAGAGACTAGCCTGGATCACATTCCTACGCAGGGAGCCGGCTGTCTGCTTGGCTTCCCACACAAGTGAACTGATACACGGAAGTACATTTTTTCTTGTATGTTCTCTTGGCTTCCTCTTTTCCTTCTCTCCTTTTCCCTTCTTTCTTTGTAACATTTTGTTTGTCCCTCCATTGCTCTTCGTGGGTGGTGAGTTACTGATATATTGAAGACTGAATTCAGTTTTCAACTGGGCAGGGGCAAGGAAGATCATCGCAATGTCCCAGGGGATCGGTCAGGAGATTTCTAGGGTGACAAACTGATATAGAAGCATTCCCCAGGGTAGTGATGCTCAACCGCTATCCAAACCACAGTTAAGATCCCCGCCCTGCGTAGAGCTTGTGCTTCATGACAAGTAGTCACGGGCGAAGGAATGCTCAATGTCACAGCCCAGTGCAGGCCGACCCTATGGCCATAGGTCTGACAGAGCACAGCCCTGAGGGATGATTGTCTGGCGGCAGAATGATGCAGATGTGACCATTTCTCTGTCTGACATTATTTCCTTCCCCCAGCTTCCTGGAGCCAGATGCGAGGAGAACTGTGTCAACGCTGAACAGTAAGTGTCTGAGAGTTCAAGCCAGGAGGAAGGGCAGACAGACAAGGCACCCACACCCAAGCTAAAACGTCGGGACATAGCTCTGACTTCCTTTTCTACTTAAGTGGGCACCGCCTACCCACACAGACGTGTCTGTCATCCCAAGTGCTCAGAATAACCTGGCCAATAGCACTTTTTTTGTAAACCAGTCTTCCCATCAGCGCAGCACAATTCATTAAAACACACGTCGTTAAGGAGACCTGCAGATGGCTTCTTTGGCCGTGCTTTCCAGTGACTCATCAGGGCAGACTGGGTTCAACAGCCAGTCACTGGCTTATCTGTTTGGGCGATTCCCATAGTAGTATACCCACTTCAAATCCTTAGTTTCAAGTGAGTACAGACAATAACAATCCAGTTCATGCTAAAGGAAAACACATATTCCGCTGCAGAATCATTTCCCCGCAGCCAACTCTATCAGATGTGAGGGGAGTTAAGCAATTAAGGATCATCGTAATTACTTCGCATGAGTATATTTGATACTGGGAATGTGACATTGAGGATTTGGACAGCTGTCACTATATGGAATCTAATGTAGAAGTGAAAGGCTTTGAGCAAATGATGACTCAAAGGGAGAAGCAAGATGATGCACTGTTTCAGGGAAAATGCAAAGTGTATTTTCTATGCAAGTGTGACCCAAGTTGAAATGCAAGAATAGGTCTCAATATACATTTAGTAGAAAGTGGTTTTTTTTAATTATTACTTTAGTGACAAAACTGGTATATCTTTAAAGACACACATGTTCCTTCTCTCCATCCCTGACTCTCGGTTTTAGTCTTTCCCATGCTGTCCTCCTTGTAGTCCCTCCAGAGAAAGTTTACCGCTGCCGAAGCTCCTTAGCTCTCCTTGCGTGAAGCCAGCTTCTCCCTTTGTTCCCTTCCTGTTTGGTCTCAGTGAATGCACCCATCGGTTCTGTAGGCCCTTCTTGGGGGGAGGGGATGTTGCAAGAACTTGTGAAATATAAATTACAAATGTGACTTTTTTCATGCATGTAACTGACATTTTCCTGGTATGTACATTTTATTGGCCTCACATGCATATGAACTTAATGTTCATGTCTGTTTTCAAAGCCACTTCTAAAAAGCTTGTATGCCAAATGCTTTCTTGACGATTTCCATCGTAGTAGCTCACAACAGTCATGCAGACATTTTCTTTTCCTTTTGTTTTATATCAGTTTGGAAAGAATTAGGTTTCATCACAGCGTTTTTCAAACAAAATTTGTTGTAATTGTTTTTCTTCTCTTCTCCTTTCTCAGATGCCCCACTCGCTTAATTCTTTTCACAGCCACCCTTTTTTAATGCAATTTTTTAGTGACTAACAAAATGATTTGCACAATGGTATCTTTTTTTTTTTTTTTAAATTAAACTCTATTCAACTAGCTACATTGGACTTTTAAAAATGCATGTCTTAGCTGAGCATGGTGGCACACACCTTTAATTCCATCACTGGGGAGGCAGAGGCAGGTGGATCTCTGTGAGTTCAAGGTCAGTCTGATCTACAAAGTGAGTTCCAGTTCCAGGCTAGCAAAAAGGTTACAAAGTACGACTTTCCTAAAAAAATAAAAAATAAATAAAAATAAAAAATTAGGTCTTATTAGGTCTTGATGTTTTGATGTTTTTTTTTCTTTTTTTTGCGATATATATTTTTTATTTTACAATATCATTCAGTTCTACATATCAGCCATGGGTTCGCCTATTCTCCCCCCTCCCACGCCCTCCCCTTACCCCCAGCCCACCCTCCATTCCCACCTCCTCCAGGACCAGTCCTCCCCCGAGGACTGTGATCAACTTGGTAGACTCAGTCCAGGGAGGTCCAGTCTTTTCCTCCCAGACTAAGCCAAGTGTCCCTGCATAAGTCCCAGGTTTCCGACAGCCAACTCATGCAATGAGCACAGGACTTGGTCCCACTGCCTAGATGCCTCCCAAACTGATCAAGCCAATCAACTGTCTCACCTATTCAGAGGGCCTGATCCAGCTGGGAGCCCCTCAGCCTTTGGTTCATAGTTCATGTGTTTCCATTCATTTGGCTATTTTTTTTCAATAATTGAGTAAAACTGAAATTTATTATATGCCACAGTCGTCCTAGGGACCTCCATGCTATATATATAGCCTCTATGGTTCTATGGGTTGTGGTCTGACTGTTCTTTATTTTATATCTAGAATCCACCAATGAGTGAGTACATACCATAACTGTCTTTCTGGGTTTGGGTTACCTCACTCAGGATGATTTTTTTCTAGTTCCAGTTTTGATGTTTTTAATTATAACATAGTATTAAATGTAACAGCGTGATTATTGCAGCTCACACTATTGATTTTTAATGTAACACACTTCTTTCTGTCTCCACAGTTGCCTGTCCACCGACTGGGTGCATCTCTGGTATATATGGTAAGTCTGAGTTATATAATACCCTCAAAGAGACTTCCTTTTGTGTATTTTTTTAAGTTTTTAATATGCTAATAGTGTGAATAAAAACACAGCTGTATTTCACAAGTTTCCTTAGTTCATCTCTAACCTATGTGACAATATACCATGGTTTCCTATTTCAATATAATCTCTTTAGCCAAAGTCAAGAAATTAGTGTCTTTCCCCCAGCATGCGCTTATGAAACACTTTTGCACAGTGAAGTGAGAAGCAGCCTCCTCAAACTGTCTTCAGTATTGTTTGTTCTCATGACTGACAGTCTTGCTGGAAAAAATCAGTGACTCTTATATGCAAAATGAAACCCTGGGGACTAAAACCTTATTAGTGTTCTATAAAAGATGAACAATGATCAAGATCAGACATTAAGGGGTAATTATGTCAGAGCCGGGAGGCAGCTGGCCACAGCTTGGACTTGACAGTGGGTTCTTGCAGGTTGCTGGTGGTGGTTGGCGCGCTGCTTCTCCTGTGCGGCCTGACTTCAGTATGCTTCCGCTGCTGTCTGAGCCGCCCGGAAAATGGGGAAGATGGGGCCCCATCACCGTATGAAGTGACTGTCATTGCTTTTGACCACGACAGCACTCTGCAGAGTACCATCACATGTGAGTGCACTCCACTCAGAACACCGAGCAGAGGGCTCAGGTTTAAAGAAGTTCTGAAAGGCGAGGAGGTGTAGGGAGAACGGCCGACCAGCATTGAGTGTTTGGGAGTTCAGAGTCGTTTTAATTTCTAGAGACCCATTGTGTGGTGACCTGGCCTATCACTGATGCCTGTATTCTCAAGGTTTTGGCTGATGATAAACTGAATAACAAAGTAAAATATCAGAGCCAAGGTTCACATGACTTCCTCCCTCCCTTTCTTTATTCCTTCCCTCCCCTCCTCCTCTCTTGCCCTTTCTTTTTCTTTCTTTCTTTCTTTCTTTCTTTCTTTCTTTCTTTCTTTCTTTCTTTCTTTCTTTCTTTCTTTCTTTCTTTCTTTCTTCCTTCCTTCCTTCCT